CCGGATCCTCTCAATTTTAGTATTTCATTGATCATTTTGTCCGTGCAGCAACAACAACAACAGATCTAGAAGCTCGGACCTTACTTGCTACTACAACTTGGACCAGCAACTCAACTTCACAACCCAGCAGTACGAATACAACTTTAACCACGCCCCCTTTGACTATGACAACACCTACAACCGTCCAGTCTTTAGATACTACAGCACCAGCAGGTACGGAGATCATATGACTCTATAGTTTTACATCTGAGCTTTAGATTTACCACATTTATGGATTTAAATGTTGTTATTTTGTGCAAATGCAAGTACAAACTTAGGCAAAGGCAAATGTGATTTTTTAAAGTTTGAATTAATTAGAATAAGATTTTGTGGAAATATATGTTTAACAAATTACAGGATTGCCTTCTTAAATAAATATGAATCAGTAAACGTTTTTGTTTTCTCATTTTTAACGGAATGCTGTGCTTATTTGTCCTTGCAGCGACAACAACAACAGAAGGTTATACTTTACCCGTATCAACGTTTCAAAACACATCGTCAACGGTACTAACCACAACAAGAGCTGCAAGTAGGAAAACTTCATGGGGACTTTGGTATCATTTCAAAACGATCTTTCTGTTTTCTCAAGTTTTGTCAACTCAGTTCTTACAGCTGGCACCCTGGAAAAAAGGTCACTTTCAGTGGAAACTTGTAAATGACCTTAGATGACCCAATGACCCAAATATTGGCTCACGTTCGGCTCAAATAACGTTGGATCGAACAGGATAAAAAAATTTACGACATTTATGATTGCATCATTTTTTCATCCTTTCTGTGTCTTCAAAAGTGTCAATTTCACAACCGTGCAGATACAAAATGGCAAGAGAGGCGGAAACTCTCCTGTTCATGACGCAGCAGATGTTGTTCCTCTTGTTCTACTACAGTTTTGCTTTACACCCTGTCCGAAGTCGTGTAGAACCTACACGTAGTACTACAGCCTCAGGAAGTGTAGTGGACTTCTGTTCGTAGACTACGCTTTACACCCAGAAAAAAGCTGTAGTCTACTAGAGTAGTAGACTACGACGCGTAGTACTACAGTTAAATAAAGAAGTGTAAATTGGGCCTAAGCCATTCCCGCTAGCCCTGTAGCTAGCACGTGTAACCTTCTGAACAAACGTACTTCAACATTCATGTGCCTACATTTCGCAAGGAGTGAAAAAAAGTGTCTAACACATTAATTTTTGCAGCGACCACAACAACAGAACCTCACACCCTGCCTGTTACTACAACATTGGCCAACAACTCAACGTCACAACCTAACAGTACGAATACAACTTTAACCACGCCCCCTTTGACTTCGAGTACACCGACAACCGTCCAATCGTTAGCTTCAAACACGACAACAGGTACGGAGTACATATTTTTAGACTTGACACTTGATATGGTCAATTCTTGTATGGTTTGCAATAACCATGTAGTATTGACCGTTACGTCCCCACAGTATGATGGTAAGTCTTGGAAAGACAAAGGACAAGGTCAAGTATGGGCCTCCTTTTGGATGACCTTGGTACTGCAGCAGAACTTCCGGTTTTTGTATTTTTTGTCCTGAACAAATTATGGTCTTGACTTTTTGGTGACAGATAGCTTGTCCTGTCAGGAATAAGTGGCGTAAGTTTGGTCTCCCTAGCAGCTTGTTCTGGAACTGCAGGTTAGTTTCTGGTAAAAACTTTCAAAGCCAATAAGTCCAAATTGGAACAACGTATTGTCATCATTTTTGGTGTGTGAGTACCTGAGAGACAGTTGTACATGATTAAATGCAAATTATGCAAATGAGGACTTAATTTGCATAATTAATGAGGAAATTCTATAATTACAGTGTTTCATATAATGGTACTGCTATACATGCAATCTATTTAATCTGTGGCAGGCGGAACATCAACAGATACCAATTATGCAAATGATCACCTAATTTGCTTAATTAATGTGAAAATTCTGTGAATCCTTATTGGTGAATGATGGGAATTTTATACCTCGTAACACGTGTAAGTTACTTAAAGGTTTGCATCGCTATGCATATATTATGTTAATGTAGAGGTTATTTGCATAATTAATGAGGACAAAGGAAGCCCATATTTCATGGAGGTATGAGATCTGGGAACTCTTGTTAGGGCTTGGGTTCTTTGGAAACCAGATTTTTCAAAGTCAATATTCTAGTCATTTATCTACATACTGAGTTGAGTCACACTATCCCAATCTATATTGACCCTTATGGAGCAAAAATTCCCAAAATTCTGACGGAAATGGTTACTGAAAGGGCCCTGGGCTGATTTTTAGGGAACCACCCAGAAAACAAAGGACTTATCTTGAGGCTTGTTTCTGCAGTTTTGAATGCCCAAAGTACATGTATTAAATGCTGACTCAAAATGTGCTAATGTGAAGCAGTATGTGTCACTATCACAAAGACTGCCGTATTCAAAATATTTCCAGTTTTGCTGCCCTGAGATCGCAAAGTAATCAAATACGTAATTTAACATTGGTTTCTGTAATTCTATATTCTAGCTGGATGCCTAACCCCCACTGACGTACATGTGCATGTATATGTCAGATACCGTTAGTCTTGCTACCCGAGACCACAAACACACAACTATAAAAATTCAACCTCCTGAACTAACGTAATTAAACAGTCAAATTGGTAAACATCGCAATGAGTGAAAAAAAAGTCTCAAACACAATTTACCTCTTCCAGTGACTAAAACAACAGAACCGCCCACCCTACCGGTTAGTATAACATTGGCCAACAACTCAACGTCACAACCCAAAAGTGCGAATACAACTTTAACCACGCCCTCTTTGACTTCGAATACACCGACAACCGTCCAGTTGTCAGCTGCAAACACGACAGCAGGTACGGAAGTCCTATTTCTTTCTTATTTTAGAGCTAAACTTATGTTTCACATGTAGATATTGTTTGCAATAACCTTGTAGGGCCACAGTGTCCGTTACATTCCCTGAATGTCAGCCTGGTTTAGCCAAAGTAGTCTAATTTAGTCATTAGGTGCACATGCCTCAGGTGTCATGGGTGTCGCTAGTTATTTACAGCCTCTTGCTTTAGCGTTCTCGTAAGACTTGAGATTTCAAGTGAATGTTGTGATGGCAACGCTAGCGGCAGGGTATGAAACTTATGAAACTCTGTAACACTGACGTAGCAAAGAGTATTATCGTCGTATTTATTACCTTCAGTGCTCAGGCGCGGCCGGCAGATTGTCGAAGGCTGTCATGATTTGATTATATGCATGACATCCTCTGGGAACCCCAAAACTGATTCGAGCGTGCGAATAATAAAAAGTTTGGCGAAAAAAAAGATTCCTTCATTATGAAATCTACGTGGTCATGAAGGTTGAACAAATGACTAAACACACAGAGTATGGCGAATGATTTTTTTGTATGTATTTTATTCGCACAATTATTAGAAATACATTGAAAACTTAAGGTAAACAAATTACATAAAACAAAATAATGTGCAGGAGGGGGCAGAAAGCCTTCAGGGCCCTCTTCCTTCCCAAGTTAATCACGACATGAAATGCATGAGATCAATAGGATAAATATGAAGGAATTAACGGAAAAACTATAATGAAAACTAAGACGTATAAATGAATATCATGACTAATATAGTAATTGAAAATGAATTAATGAATACAAAGATAATGCAAAGGAAACTAACTCAGTTTAACAAAGGATGTCACTAAATGCAAAGAATATTTTACAAAACTGGAAATTATTATACTGGAAATTGAGTTATTTATTATACAAATGATAAGAAAAGAACATAGGTGAAATCAAAATGTAATACCAGTATATCTCGAAGTCTCAAAATAAAACTACACAAACAATGGTAAATGATAATGACAGGAAGATAATATAAAATATCTTATATACCAGTGATGCTAATTATAATCCGCGGCGTAACTTGCTAAGGACGTATATGGTGAAGAGTTTAAAAGTCATGGATAGGAAATGATGTTTTAATTTACGTTTCAAAGTTTGAATCGAGGTAAGATTTTTTAGGGAAAGGGGAAGATTATTCCATGGAAGGGCAATTTTAAATTTCACATTCATCTGGGCCTGGGAGGTTCTGTATAGGGGTATGTTTAATTAGAAGCTATGGCGAGTTTGGTGGAATTGTGAACGAAAGTTGAGAAAGTTTTCAAATGCCAAAGGGCCAATTGAAATCTATTGATGTCCAAAATATTCAAATAAACTCTTCAGTTTCATTCCTTCTCATTTTCTTCTTTTCCTGAATTGATGTTGGCATTCTATGACATTGGTATTTTTTCCAATACTTTTTCGCAACATACGACATATATTTGCTCATTATGTACGATTTACAGTATGGTAGAAAACTTTTTTCCTTGGGAACAGACGAAAATTCATGCGTGCGCGGATGTCATCCATATAATCAAATTAACATGGTCTTAAAGGTAGTATATTACAAAAACGAATTAATTAAAAATTAGTATTAAAAAACACATGATCGTTTTATGATTAAAATTCCTAGATTTTATCATTATTTACCAAAATATTCTAAGTGTTCTTGCAATATTCCCTTAATATATGATAACAATGATGTAAAAACTATAGGTATAAGGGAGACAATGCTTCTTGAAAATTGTACTATCTTATCTTAATATCCTAATATTTTATTTCTAAAATTATATTTTAATGCCAAAACGAAATAACTATTTAAAAGTACCGGAACATGGTCGTTTTGTGGCTAATATTCTTAGATTTTATCAATGTCTAGCCATATAAGTGGTCTCATAATTTTGCCTTGATATATGATAACAATGATGTATAAGTATAAGGGGGAGTCTATTGTGCCGAGGTCCCTTTTTATTTATTTATTTATTTTTTACTTCATGATTCACCACAAAACAAGGCTCATGAGAGCCACTCAAATACTTTGGGTTGCTTTGGGTACAGCCAGTGAGGACAGATGCTTGTTGACATTAGACTTGAAACGTTTATCGAATGTAGTGACTGCCCGGGTACCCCGGGTCCGCAGCATGTCTCTGTGGTCTCAGCAGGTTAATCTTCCGCACCAGCTCGTCAGGCGTTGGCCGCCTCGATGGGTTGAACACCCAACATGACCTGATGATGCGGTACACCGGCAGCGGACAGTTCTCCGGCTGCTGCAGACGGACGCCTTTCCTCAGCAGCTCCAGTAGTTTGCAGACGTCCGGGTGCATCGGAGCGCCAGCGTAGCGCGGCTCCTCCCCGAAGCTGGCGATCTCCCACAGCAGCACGCCGTACGACCACACGTCACTCTCACACGTGTACACCCCGTCCCGTAACGACTCCACGGCCATCCACTTCAGCGGCAACAGTTCCTCCTCCCCGCCCTGCTCGGTGCGTCCGTACGCCGACGACACGTAGACGTCACGCGATAGTCCGAAATCCGCGATCTTAGCCACCATCCTGTCACTGATGACGACGTTACGAGCCGCGATGTCCCGGTGAACGATCTTCAGCCGTGCCAGCTCCGATAACCCACAGGCCACGTCACAAGCGAAACCGAGACGCTCTAACAGTTTCCTATCCCCCGTGATCTTGCACTGTTCACGCAAAGTCCACAGGTACCGACGGAGTTCTTCATTGCTCGCGTACTCTACCAGGATGTACTGAGGCTCCGACTTGGTCAGAACTCCGTAAAGCTTCACCACGTTCGGGTGTCCCTCTTTGTCCTCGTGGATTCTCGCGAGAATGTCCATTTCTCGTCGAAAGTCGCGGACAGCCGACGCCGTCTTGCGGTCGGGCCGGATACTTTTAGCCGCGACCAAAACCTCGTACCCTTCCGGCACGCGCAGCCCTGCCCGTACGACATGGCCGAACTCCCCCTCCCCGATCATGTGCTCGAAGCGAATGTCCTCTCTGTCTACTTCCCATGACGAAAGGGTTTCTATGACGGACGTCATTTCTGAGTAACCATTTGCCTGTCGGTGACCCCGTTTCAACAGGATTCCAGTGACGATACAGGCGATTACCACAATGGCCGGAATAACGGACGACAACACTGCAACAGCGACTTTATTGTTGTTCCCAGGAATGGAGACGTGCTGACATATCTCACCCGACTGTCCTTCAGCACAAATACAGCCGCCATTGACTGGATCACACAAGGCGTTGTTTTCGCAGTAACACCTCATACTGCAATTCTTTCCGAACGTGCCAGGGGCGCACTCGTGCTGACACCTGTCTCCACGACGGCCTGTAGGACACAGACACCCCGCCCACCTGTCACACGTCCCTCCGTACTCACAGTCACACACTTCGCTGCAGACTTCCCCATAATAGTTGGGTCGGCATTCGGTGGCGTTTAGTACGAAAGTCGCGTTGAAAAGCTGACCATCTTCTGCCTGTACCATACAGCTATATTTGCCGCTAGCTGACTCTAGTATCGGATGAAAGCTGATAGAACTGTTCTGGGCTGTCCCTTCGTCGATGATTTTTGTGTCGTTATTTGTTTTTCCTGTTTGATAAAGCCAAGTCATATTTGCCACGTCAATATGAGGAGCCAGGCAGGTCAAAGTCAGATTGGTACCGATGTACTTCACAACTGCTGAATCGCCAGGTGTCTCTACCACGATGGCGACTTCGGGCCAGGGAATATCACAGGCCCTCCCTCTCCAGCCCGGGCGGCACTCACAGGCACCGTTATAGCCATGACAGCGGGCACCGTTCTTACACACACAGTCCCTGTCACAATATATACCGTACAATCCACCAGGACACCCTGTAAAGTTGTACTGAAATGTCCACTCAAATAGAACTGTTCCCCCATTATCCCCCAACGTGACATTAAAGCCACAGCGAAACCAGTATGATGATGTGGACCACATCTCGTTTAACTCAACGGCGATGACATAGCGGGGATTTTCATCCCCTTGGAAATGACCGTTTACTACCCACTGAGGCAAGTCGTCATCCATAGAAAGGTCCAATATAGTAATCTTCCCCTTAGTCTTCCACTCTCGGTCGCGACATTCAGCTTCGCCTCTACCATGTAAACGTCCTTCAATCGCCGAGGTGACGATCCCCCCGTCTCTACCCATTGTCTTTCTGCTGAGAACAAATCGTAAGGAACAGTCGCTTTTCAAGACAAAGTTACCGGGGTATTTCTTCGCGTAATTGAACTGAAGAAAATCTCTGTACTCTGCCATTACATCTCCGTTAGCTGTAGTATAATATCCGTCACTACTGGCCAAAGTACAATCCTCTCCCTTCTCTTTATCCAGAAGGACTGGCGTCTCACACCGTTTGTTATAGAATGGCGGGTATTCAGGCACGTCTGTGACTACGATGACGAGGGTCACGTACAATACGTTCTCGTTCCCGGTATTTGTCAGTTCCACCGTCAGGTTGTACCGCGGGTACAACTTGTAGTCCAGCGGAGCCGCTACGACCAGCGCCAAGTCCTCAGCACGAACCCCAAACCGTCCCCAATCGTCCCCCGCGGTGATGTTTGCTGACCAGCACGTCCCGTTGTCGTCGTCCGCAGAACTAACCAGGCTGGCGGCAACAAGAGAATCTCTCAGCCGAACCACCGTGCTACCGACTGGCGCATCCTCCGGTATTTCCGTTACATTTTCACCCCAAACTAAAAGGTCACAATGGAGTTGGACCTGGGAGCTAGACGACAGCTCAGCCAGCAGAAACACAGCACAGAGAGTAGCGATTAGCGCCATCTTCTCTTCGCAGAGCAATGGCTCTCTGGTAGTAACTGATCCACACTCTTCTGTTTCTTTGCTTTGAAGTCAGACAGAATGTCTTTACTTCCCGAGTTCCACCGAAACCTTGGAGGAAATTATTTGCTGTTTTTTTTCTGTTATGTTTCCTCTTCCTCCTTCCTTTGTCATACCGGACACTTGCTTACACCTGTTGAGAGTTAATAACAGCAATGTTATGCTCTGTCAGCTCTGAAATATTTCAGGCGAGCTCGTCAGAGCGAGTGAAAGATTCTAATGAAACTTACTGCATGGACAAAACACATTAAAGAGTCACAGTTTATTTTTTTTTACTGAAAGATGAAATGGCAATTAGTTAAAAAGAATAGAGTATTGAAAAATTGGTATTGGTCGGTATAAGTTGCCGTCTACCAGTGAATTCTTCTTTTCTTTGCACATGCACAGTGAATGGCTGCATTTAAACGAATTTGAATACCTGTTGCCATCCACGCACCACTTCGGTTTAAATATACTAGCTCAGCCTCATTTATTAGTTGTTATCCGTCACAGTCTTTGTCGCCTGACAGCAATCTGACAACATTGTAACCACGAAAGATGACCCACGAAAAGGAATTAACCTTTTACACACACACGCGATCACGACTTCTGATAGAAACCTGACTTGCTGATAAGAGCTTGCATAGCAACCTTCCGTCTCATTTGTTATGGCTTCACCACAAAGTGGTGCTTCTGAAGACATATTGATTTCTCTCATGTTTCTTCTTCTCCTCCTTCTCCTGCCATTTCGTTAAATGGATTCAATTTCTGTATTTTTGGGCCAAATGACATGACATTTGGCATGAAGGTAGAGTAGCCAAATACCCCCAGGTGTTTTTTTCTTCATTTTTTTTGAAAAATTGTTTTATTTGTTTCTTTGTGGTAATAAAACCAAATGACCTGATATTTGGTATGGGGATACCTTGGACATATGTCTACAAAACCTTTTTCAAGCTTTTGACATACCTCACTTCAAAATTGTGGAAAATAGGGCTTTGGGGCTATTTTCGGACAAAAAATTTACATTGTTGGCTCCTGTGCCCCAATATTAAATCCAAATGACCTGAAATTTGGTATGGGGATACCTTGGACACATATCCAAAGGTTGTCATTCATGCTTTTGACATATACCACTATAACATTGTACAAAATAGTTTTTTTGGCTATTTTCAGGACCAACTAGTGTTCCACGATCTCAAATGATGTTACCCTTAGGCCTTGACAAATGTTGACGATTCGCATTAATTATGCAAAGTAGGCATTCATTTGCATAAACACTACCCGCCAATGTCCTTCTTCACAATTGCACACGTTTGAATAATCATATCATGGAAGGTAGCAGATTTATAGCATTTCCTCATCAATTATGCTAATTAGCTGCTGATTTGCATAACTATCATTTGCATATCTCAAGCATTCTTTAAGGTACCCACATACCGAAAATCATGATGATCTGTCAATCGGTTCTTGAGTTATCCTCCTTCGAATATTTTTCAACGAATACTTCTGCAGTTCCAGAGCAAGCCGCTAGGGGGTCCAAACCCATGTCACCCCAGCCAAAGAGCTACCTATCATCCAAATTTAGTGACCCTACCATGTCTAGATCACGAGATATCAAAACCGGAAGTTCAGCAAGCCGCCAGGGGGTCCAAAATCTAATCAGTTCCAGGTCTCATCAAGACCTACCCACCTACCAAATATAAAGACAATCCATCTTAGCCTTCTTGAGTTATCGTGTTAACACACACACACACACACACACACACACACACACACACACACACACACAGACACACGAACGCCAACGAAAACATAACCTTCTTGGCGAAGGTTATAAACTGGATGCCTAACCCCCGTTGACGTATACATCAGATACCGTACGTGTATTTTGCTGTTTAACCCCGAGACCACAAACACACTACAAAAACACTCTTCTGAACAAGCGTCAGTCATTTTGGCACATTTAGCAAAAAGTGTCTCTCTATTTCTTGCAGAGACTACAACAACAGCACCTCACACCCTGTCTGTTACTACAACATGGGCCAACAACTCAACGTCACAACCCAACAGTACGAATACAACTTTAACCACGCCCCCTTTGCGTTACGTCCAGTCGTCAGCTTCAAGAGCGACAGCAGGTATGGAAGACCCTTTTTATACCTAAACTTTAGGTTTGACATAAGGTCAATTGTATTGTTTGCAATAACCTTTTAGTGTTACTTTTTCTGAGTGGGTGACTAGTTCAAAAAATACATTCAACCAGATGAATAAACAAATTAAACAGTCAAATTGGTACGTTTCAAGGAGTGACCACAACATCAGAACCTCACACCCTACATGTTACTACAGCATTGGTCAACAACCCAACGTCACAACCCAACAGTAGGAATACAACTTTAACCACGCCCCCTTTGACTTCGAATACACCGACAACCGTCCAATCGTTAGCTTCAAACACGACAGCAGGTACGGAGGACATATTTTTTTTCTTTATTAAAATGTAACTTTACGTCTGCTATGCTCATAAGGTCAATTGTACTGTTTGCAAGTTTGCCATCAAGCACCACCTAATTTCGGTTGTCTAGAGTATGAGGATTGACATTGGTGAGACCGTGGCCAGAAATCCTCATCTTGATTCATATCCAATATTACGGTCACTGATCGTGACATACAATACGGTTTAACTTGACAGTCTGACTTGACTTTCAAGTGTACGGGATCTAATTGTAAGCAATTTTCTGTAATTCTTTCTAAATATTGTAACTCCTCTCTTAAACATTATCAACGTTTATTTCACAGAATCGACGGATTCGATTACTTCGCACTATGATGCAACTACTTCGTGGACAACGGCACCAGGTGGTATAAAATTGTGATGAATGATGAAAATTGTAATTTAATGGATGTTTGCTGAGTTTGTGGAAGTGGTTTAGAACGATATGTGAGGTGGGGTGAGGTGTGGACAGTGTATTTCCTACTTTTTTGTCGTGACTGCATGAATGTGTGACTGTGTCTTTCCTCTGCTATCGAAAAGACCACACGCTCGCACACATGCACACATACCTACACACAAACCTGTGGACACACAAGTATGGTACACACAATAGGTACAGGGAGATGATGAAGACTAGCCGTGATGTGACTCAAACCAGACCAGACTGACTGACTACGAGCCTATGGACGGAACCACAGGTCTGGAGCTGGTGGGTTCTCTAATGTCAACCACGATGTTGCAGTTTTCCTCGGGTATGGTTAAGATAATCTCTGCCATGCCTTTGTAATGCTGATGTGTGGAAAAGTATACGAAGGTTATGGAGAATAAGTGAAAACCTGTGTCATATTTATCAAGTTTTTCTAATTATATTTCAGTCCATACCATGGTATGGATGAGATATATTGTGTTCTCTCATTATATTTCAGTCCATACCATGGTATGGATGAAATATATTGTGTTCCCTCATGTTTCTCCTTCTCCTCCTCCTCCTTCTCCTCCTGCCACTCGTTCAGAGGGATTCAACTCCGCCATCATTCAGCCAAATGACTTGAAATTTGGCATGGAGGTAGAGTGGGCAAATACCCCCAGGCGTTTTTTTTTCATTTTTTTGAAACACGCCTTTGAAAAATTTTTATGAAGGTTTTTTGGGGCATTTTTCGCCAAAAAATGGATTTTTGGATCCTGAGCCCTGGTTTTACAACCAAATGATCTTAAATTCGGTATAAGGGTACCTTGAACATGTGTCTACAGAATAGCAGTCACATATTTGGCATACACCACCTCCAAATTACTCATTTGGGGAACTTTAATGGCTATTGCCCTGCAAAAAAAGGGCAAAAAAGTGCTATACACGTTCCATGTTCTATCTAAAGAATGGCCCGTTCCATGCATGGAACACATGTTCCATTGCGGGTTACCTGGGGTCACATTGCACCTAAGTCGTGCGTAATGACCCACAGATTCAATATGTGCCTAAGACCTTCAAAATGTATAAAATCTCATAATTGTTAGTATTTGCATACCTGTAATAAGATTAGTAAAGCTTTCGAGATTCAATGTGCTTGTTCTTGCATCTATATCTTTCTTCTTAGCTACTATATAATTCATGTATTTGAGAATCTTTGCCAGTTTTACACTGGGGTAAGTTTGGAATAGTCCACTTTTGCGTGGGAGGGAGATGGACTGTAATATGCTGTATTTGCTCCCAAGCAAATGTCGGCCTCTCTAGTTTCAGTAGCGTTTGTCTGTTTGTTTGTTTGTTTGTTTGTTTGTTTGTGGTTCAGCAAGATAACTCGAGAAGCAGTGGATGGATTGGGATGAAACTTGGTATGTGGGTAGGTCTTCATGAGACCTAGAAATGATTTTGGGCTCCCTGGCGGCTTTCCTAGGTACTGCAGCAGAACTTCCGGTTTTGATATCTCGTGATCTGGGCATGCTACGGTCACGAATTTTGGATGGCAGATAGCTCTTGGGATAGGAAAGAAGTGGCATGAGTTTGGGTTCCCTAGCGGCTTGTTCTGGAACTGCAGGAGCATTTCTTGAAAAAAATTCGAAGGAGGATAACTCAAGAACCGGCTGACGGATTGTCGTGATTTTTGGTATGTAGGTAGTTAAAGTGATGCTTGACATAATCAAATGACAATTATGCAAATTGGGAACTAATTTGCATAATTAATGAGGAAATTCTATAAATCTGCTTTGTTCGACAATAGAACTATGAAACACTTGTGACATCTACTTCAGAATGAAAAAAAACATCTGAGGATATAGATTATGTAAATGGAGACCTAATTTGCTTAATTAATGGCAAATTTTTATAATTTCATAGTTGTAACTGCTGGGAATTTCACACTTGCCACATTTGGAAGTTGCGTGAAGGTGAACACAAACATAATTTATTCAAATCATGAACTCATTTGCATAATTTATGAGGAAGTTCTATAATAGCCTTTTTGTTAAGATAAGGCTGTCATTGGGTGGAGAATATGATCAACTGATATAATCCATGCAAATGAGGCGCTTATTTACAACATCAATGATTAAAATTGTATAATTCGTCAACCGCAAGGGTTAACATCATTTGGCGAAGGTATGAGATCGTGGAACTCTTGTTATATATTGTAACGTCACTGTGCGATAGAGGAAGTAGTGATGACATCGCCACTTTGCCAACGATCACTGCCAGAGGGCCAAAATGCAAGTATACATATTCTGTACATACATGTACATGTCACTGCACAGTGTTAGCTAGCACGGGAACGTCACTTTAACTCGTATGTAGGTTGCCTGGCAGCCATAACAGCCACCATTTTACCTTACCTATGCACGAGTTAATCAATGACCATGTAACAAATGATAAATCGTTCCCCAGGTCAGCGCAGAGGCCAAACCGCAAATGACCGGACAGGCGACAGGTGACCGGCGGTTCAGACGACAAAGTTCGCCTGATACGTGCGAGCTGGCACAGGCTTTAGTCGTAGTCAATATGCGTGTGCAAGCTTGACTGGAAATGTCAATAAGATGTTGTATGTTTTACGTGAAATTTGCGTGTTCAGAGATGACTATTTCCTAATGGTTCATGTCCTTGCCAAACTAATACTATCCTTGGTTGATCAGAGCAAATAGTACATCATCCTGGAAATCATTTATTGTAAATAATTCATAACAACGATGTGTACACTCAAAACAAAGACAACATCGTGAATCTGAAGTTAAACATAGTCACAGCATTACTGAACAACATAATGTATAATGTACGAAACTACGCATATCACAATAAGACTGAACACCAAATGTTACAAATACTTAAAATAGAAAATTTGATACATGTATTTATATAGCTGAAAATAACTGTACCAAAGCACACCGAAATTGCAGTAAGTTGTTATTACCACAAATCGTTATACTAGGAAAGTTGTTTTCTTCCTACTTTGTAAATACTCCGCGCTGGCGCGGCACATCTTGTTTACATGTTAAAAACGATCATAATACCTGTGAAGAATGCTTAAATCTCGATATGTACATAAAACTGGTGTGTTTTCAAATTCTGTTATGATCCAAACGCAAGCGTAAAGATGGATTTACATTCTGTAGCAACCATGCTAAATTGAAATCATCAGTTATGAATTGTGAATTATTATCACCAGTTCTTAGAACTAAAACAAAGGCACAACCAGAAGTAAACCTCTCAATAGAAAAATAGCAAGTCCGATGATGTCAAATTATCAATGTTTATGGAGTAAGGCCACAGCAAGTAAATTTTATGGATGACATCCTCCACAGATTCCAAATCTAATGTGAGCGGGCGAAAAAAAACAAGGCGGGCCGAAAAAAAAACAAGGTTCTCACATTTTGAAATTTTGACTCAATCATTGTACAAATGGTTTTGATTCAATGGGAACATCACATAGACACAGCCAACATCACATATCACTGCATCAAAGTAAGAAACAAAACATTAAATCAGAGCCTTGTCTTGTCTCCTCTCTTTATAGTTATCTGCCATCCACCTTCCGGCATGGCAACAGACATCTTTGCCCATTTCCGGCATGGTGACCACTGTCAGAAGGCAACAAAATTTCTTGTTTTTTTTTCCGAATCAGGCGAAAACCAATGCGCGCGCGGATGTCATCCATAAAAATTACTTGCTGTGGCCTAATAGAAAACATTCTGTCTAATGAAGAGGCTGGCGAGTATAGAAGCTATCCGCACTAAACCGGCCCCACGTCGTTTGCGTTTTTGATGACAATACAGGAGAAGCAAATTCCGATGATCTGAAAGAAACGAAAAGTTGTTAAAAAGCAGGTATGTACCAACTGGCGTTATGATATGGCTAAAAAAGGAATATGAGGTATCCCCAAAGACTAGTATCCAGAAGCCACATTCTATTGAAAGTTAATATGTTAGTAGAAGTCATTATGAAGCAAACTGTAATTCAAATTAACAGGGATTTGTATACTTTCACACGGTGTTCTCTGTTGGCACATAAACTCTGTGATGCAGCCACACGTAAGCCCGGCACCCAATGTGTTTAAAGGCACCCATAGTGATTACAGGGCAGTAAACTGGTTTTCCAACTAAGTCAATTTTCCTTCTGATATCTGTGATGCAAAATTTTTTTGGAACATGTTCGCAGCCAAAACGCAATGTTCTGTACGTCGCATTTCTGTGTAATTGGGCATGTGGTGTGTCCATGATGATGCACGTCTTTTTATTCTCACTGTAGCAGTTTTGATATTGAAGTAAATGCATATTTTAGAAACATCCCTACTTTTACAATCCTGTGGAATAGGCCGTAGGTTTAGGTAGTTGTATGGTAGCCGAGGTTCTCTAAGCAGATATTAGGTGGCTGTTGTGCATAATGGTTGAGAGTATCTTTTGGGATTGTGGTTTGCACCTACTGCGATACCGTGTCAAATGAATAATATGTAGTAAATGAAAGATATTGTTATGAAAGCTGACTTTGTTAATCTATCTACTATTGTCGTGTTGTTGATTTTATGTAGCATGCAGCTGTGTTTACACTAGTTAGTCTGCAACTGTTTCCCCTAGGGGGCGGCAAACCTCTGGCCACCAGGAGCGCGATTTTTTAGTCAGGCTAGATTATTAGACCATGGGTTTAGCCATTTTACGATACGTTGTTACCAGTTGTTAAGTGATCACAGACTGTTTACATACACTATTCCAGTTCTCAATTTGCAAAATATAAAACGTCACGGAGAATTGTCGCCTATGGACACTTCTTGTCATTGTTAGTTACCTGGACGATGGAGAAGACCAGGGCGGACACACCAACAAGCAGGAAGTTGTCTTCAAGGAAGGTCTGCAACTTGTCTTCGCATGGCTGTGACAAGACACCAACAAGACAACAGCAATGTAAAAAAACTTGTATCGTACAAACAGTAAAAAAATCACCACCGCCATGTGTGATGATCTGTCTAATGTAAGTATTAGTTATGAACCACTAAAGCGTCTTAACTTATATCTATATATCATAACACCGCACATATCATAAGACGCTTGCCTTATGGCTAAGCTTGAAAGCCAGCGGCTCTGGATCTTCCAGTGCTTCCTGTCTTTGGCTGCCAGCCAGTTATGATTGGGCGCGGCAAACTGTTCTCTCACCGCGGACCAACTCCCCTGACATGTTATCTCTCTATTTGGCCGATTTTCACTCTTTCCAGCCGCCTCCCGAAGCCTGGTAGAGGCTAGTCATGATGTCTAATTTCAACGTCACAGTTTTATGCTAAACTAGAGGTCGGAGATCTCATGTCTTCGTCAGAGGTACATCGTTCTAGAGAAATTAACATGCGTATTCTTCACTCTTTTTAATAATCAATTTGGTCTAAAGAACAAAAGAATCTCTGTACTATTTTTATGGTACAGAACACCCTGAAACGGTTTGCCGCAGATTATACAGATGCGTCGTCACCCGTGTTAGCCCCCCCCTACGTTATTTGAGTTTGGTACTGTTACTGGAAAAAAACGTTCAAGAAATTATTACTGTGTTGAAAGTGTCACGACAGCGCCGCAAAATATAGTAAGAGAAGATGTTATTATGGAAAGAATCAGAACAGGGTGACTACTGCTGTTTTGTTCATTTGTCTTTATGACAAATAGAAGACTTGTTTCTTGTGTTCTTTGTGTCCTAACATTTGTACTTCTACAGTTAGTATATTCCAAATCTAGGCATCTCGTTTTTCGGCCCTTCGTGTTTTATTGCACGCTTGCCTTAAATTTAAGGTAATTAGATTTAAGGTGTCCAGTGGATGTCATCCATAGCAATTACTTGGTGTGGCCGTAGAAAATAACCTGACATATGTCCAACCTATCCTCCCCCTGTTGAAGTTATAGTACAATCCCTCAATGTAGCGTCATTTGATCCCATCCCATTATGGGGTTCCCCAGCTATATCCAGCTGTCGGCTGTCTCCAAGCAGATGTAGGTGGGGGATTTCTAAACACAAAAGGTCCTATTACGGGGACATAACGACCTCCACGACTCTCATCTTTGAACTCAATCTTGGAGACCACGACAGTAACATGCCCATCAAATTTCATTAACTTCCATCCACACATACAAAAGTTATTCTGCTCACAAGAAAAATTAACAAAATGCCCCCCTGTAGTCACAACGAAACCCCCACGAAGCTCAGTAACGAACTTAACCTTGGTCCCGACAATAGTAAGCACCACACCAAGAATCATAATCAACATTTTACAAATACTTGAGTTATCTTGCTAACAAGCCACAAACACAAAAGGTGCACTAACGTGACGCACGGACCCCCCACGAAGCCGAAACTTGTACTTGACTTCGACCTCAACAGCGGTAATCTGCCTAGCCAAAATCATGGACGTCGAATCATGCCTTCCAGAGTTATATTGCAAATCCGCAGTTCCCCACACTCCGGCGAGACAATTTCATAGTCCTTCTGACGAAGACAATCACATCCATCCACGCTAAAGTGTCCCACTTACCGGGTTCAACCCTCCCACACAACCGTCCTGACTACCACCGCCACCCGAACCACCGCCACCAGGCGCAGTGATGTTCGAAGTTGTCATCACGACACTTGAAGTTGCTGCAGTTACAGTGGTAGGTCCCGGTCGTGATGCTCGTTAGACCCGTGGGAGGTGCTGAATGATGAGTGAGTAATGTGTATCGTTTTATCAACCAGTCCATTACATTGTTCTTTCATTTATGCTTATAATAGACAGTAGACTTTTACTGTTAACTGTGCATATTGCTTACTAAATAACATTGACTTACCTTTTCCTTTCAACCACTTTGAAGATAAGCATTAGCATTGTGTATCGGATGTTTATATCGAACGCAATACATTTTCCAGGGTTCAGATAATTCCCGGGTGCATTTCTTGTTCAATTAATTGTAGTGTACACTACCATCGATTGATCTGTTGTTACACAGAACACTCCATCCATTAAACATCTATGTCAAACACAACATTTCTCTCCTAGAGGCACTCACCTTGCGTTGGACAGGAGCAACCATCGGCGTTTTCCGGATCTGCCCAATTACTCGTAGCGTTAAGTCCACAGCATTCGAGCTGGAAACATCAGACAATCGTATGGAACACGCTTTCCAGTTTCAGGTAAAAACAAAATCTTTATTTAGGTTATCAAATTGTTGTAACTTTCTCAAGCTTGGATAAGACTGTAAGACACCTGGCCAAACTATTACAAATCAAAATTAAAGATCCTTTCTGGTGTTCTTTAGATATCTATACAAGTCAAAACGTCTCGTGGTTATCGGAGAGCAACTTAGAGACTACGGCCTTAAACCGAATTGTTTTCTTCTCCTTTTCAAAAGATTGTTGTCATTCATGTTGTCCATACATTCCGTTTGACATGTAAAAATATTCCTGTGATACCCTACTGCCTACCTAGTATGATGATAAAAAAACTAAGAATAAAATCTTACCCCTATCTGCATGGCTGTGATACCACGTTTGACCGCATCTGGAACATTCTCCAAGTCTTGCCCTTGTGTCAAGATGTCGGTAAAGCTGTCGGTAATCAGGTCGGACAGAGCGCCTCTTTGGACGATGGCCACGATGCCAGCAGCGACCTCCACGGCGAAGATGATCCCGAGAAATACCGAGAACTGCAGAATGGAAAGACAAGCACATAAATATGGCCTTATGATTAGATTAGACCAACGAGCTTCACATGAGACCAATACCATGTCCAATGTTTGAGTCAGTTTCTTGACAACTGCTTTCCTCTTCTCTGTTAGTGTCTATCGTTAATTTGAAGCTAAACTTTCTCTGCAAACATGCAATAACCTATAGCCACCATTCGTGACCAAACGACCCCTTGGGTTATGCTAGTAACGTGTTCTATTGGTTAAAAATAACTACGAGTAATCCAAAGTAAAGTACAAAAGGCAAACGTTCGTAAGATTCAGCAGGCCAGTATGATACTATATCAGAGACAACGAGTTGTAAATCATTACCAACCAAACCAGTACCATGAACGATATTCTCTACTTTACGCGATCGATCAGCACTTCTGTCTACTGTCTCCCACTGGCTGATCTATACATTGATATATCAACAACATTACATAGATCAGTCGGTCATTGTCTAACGTTAATTTTTATAGATCAGTCGGTCACTGTCTAAGGTTAATTTCTAATGCAATCTTTTTAAATTCTGCCTTTAACTGACTGATCTATATGTTAATGTATAGAAACATTACTAACCATGATGAGTAGACACTTGCTCTCCTTGCAGGCCCCGCAGCAGCCCAGGAAGCCGACCACTGTGGTGATGGCTCCGGCCGCGATGATGATGTACACCGCGATGCCATAGAACGAGAGGACGCTTTGGATGGCGCTACTGGTCGGTTGTACCAGCAGAAAGATCCCGATAGCCAGCAGTGCCAAGCCTATCAGCTGTGGAGGAAACATTTCACAGTTAGGCTGCATCAATGCTGTATTATAACATTAGGACGATACAAAAAGTACATTTTCTGGTCATTTCTGGTCAACAAAAATGTTGGAAATGTGATGTATAACTGCCCAAATACGTTGAAAAGTAGAAGTAAATTACAATCACACGAAGATTTGCCAATTAAGATATTTCATTTTTTGGCACAAAATGTTACATAATGCCCCTTTAATGACTGAGCAACAATGGATAAACCGTACATTCTAGTATACAACCCAATTCATGGCTAGCAGGGACCAAAACAACAATGGTTGCTCTTTTGCACGTTTACAAATTACTGTAAAGGCATAGAAAGACGAAGAGAATTGAATGATTTTCGTCCCTGTCCACACCTTTTCATGTAGCAATGGTTAAATTCAAACAACAATCATTTTCAAATTTCCAATCCACAATCACTTGCTGAATAGTTCCTGCTGCCAGCTATGATCTTGTATGGTCCTTTTGCTGTTTTTTGTCTGTTTGGTTCCGTTGCTTTGTCCATGGTGGATATGCGTCATGATAAACGGTTGGATGAGGTCGTCCCGTTGAAACCATTTTTACTTCCAGTTGGTCTGATCTGACCACCACAGCCACTAACCATTTCTTTCATCTCACAAATTTCTGAGCGACTTCAAAAAAACATTTCGCGTAAACAAAGAGGATTCGATTGATAAATAATCCCAGTATTGGCAAAGTCCCATGGTATCGCTTTGTCCCAGGTAAACATAGCATGGTTGCTGAGTTACAACTAAACGTTTACACCCCCACGGTCCTACTGCCGCTACCCCTTCGCGAGGCTCGATGAGTCTGTTTTCGATCTCTTACGGTCCGTTTATCTTCTCTTGTTGTCATTCATCATGTCTTGAAGACAAGGATGAATTACAACGATGTTAAACTAGACGATTACAACGTGATACATTCACAATCATTGTTAGACTTTCAACCTCCTAAAACAGGAACATCGTCTTGGAGGCATACTCCCCACATAAAGCTACTGATATCTTTACTGCTTGATATTGTGTTAACCCACAACGATACTCACACAAGAAACATCTAGTTGCACAATGTATAAACAGTAACTTACGGCACAAATTTAATTAATAAAGTATATGGTTTGGACTAAATCAAACTGAACAAACGGAATTTAACCTTCCATTGATTGCTGATGGATCGTTGGTGTTAGAAGGACCACATGGACTAGTTGTACTCACCCAGAACACAAAGTTGAAGATAAAGAGCAGTACTCTGATGATACCCGAACAGCAGCCCATGTTGTGTACTTAAATTTGACCGAGGTCGTCACGTCTGTCACCTGGCGTTGTTCCTCTCTAGGTTCAAGGAAACGTTGTGAAAATCTGGTGACAGCCTCTATTTTAAGTCACCGGTCAATTTGTTTACAAATTTCCATGGTGACTCTACTCAATGTGTTTGCTCTATGATAAGGCACGCCACAGAGTTTGCGCACGGCAAGAGAGGCATTGTCTAGTATTTGTTAGGTAGTGACGCATAAAGACTATTGACATTTACTGAAAAATAAACAATCATTTCCATCAACGTTATAAAGGATTGCTTAGTACTTTTTTCTAACTTTCTCTATACATTTACATATCAGTAAAGATCTTTATTAGGTCTGGAACACCGTTCAGAGATCTTTGTCTATCAACATTATTGCTGCTATTGTTATTTCATAGCTACATACACGAACATGCCTCTTAGAAGTCCTGGGATACTTGAAAAACACGAATTCTACCGAGAGGATGAAACGCCATTTTGGAATAAAAGGTGGTGACGTAGTTATCTTGATGACCGGACAAAGGGCAGGCACGAACGTTAGAACATACCTGCGGCTCCGCGGAAACCTCGGGTCCGTATCCAGGTACACGGAGTATCAACTGACACAAACATGGGCTAGAGTTTAAACATCATGTTTGATTAAATCTCTTCTTTGCCACATACCTCAACATTTGTGACACAATGTCTATAAGCTGCACATTGTTAAGATACAGAATCAGAGATACTAGTATGTTGCGAATGTACGACACATAGCTACAACCCGCTGTAGTACGTGCTTTTTGTCCGTACGTTTTTTTGGGAGGCTACGTCTGCTAGGTTTTTCTGAGGAAGGAGTGGCGTCTACGCACGTCACTCGCACGGTTTCGCAAGGTGTAAGAGTGTGGTCTGCACGCCAAGTCTGGCCGTGAGCGGTTGCGTGCATCGTACATTGCGCAAGTGGTAAGTGAGTTGTACGTGCTTACAACGTACGATCTCTGTGCGATTGCAACTTTACCGTAAGGAGGCCGTACTCACACGTGCTTCTTCCGCACGGTACGTACGGGGCACGCGCGTCGCTCGTACTCGCACGCACGGGTGGTGAATCCGCAGGCCGCACGTAGAAAAAGTTTTACATGCACTTAAAGTTCTACGGCGTGTCTACGTGCTCCCAAATCCGTAGGATTCCGTTCGGAGGTGGTACTCACCACGCACGGATGCCCTACGATTGCCCACGTTTTTGCACGTAGACAGCACGCAGAAGCACGTACGGCGGGTTGTGACCGAGGCTCTAGGGAGAACCCCAGGTGTTTAACCATGAGACTTAACACTTAATACAGTTGTAGTCTTCAGCATTTCACGGAGCTCGATGGTATCATTGTAATAATAAAATCAATCCTTTTCGTCACAGAAATACAAATACATGCGTGTTTCCCAATAATAAAGATTATATATTTTTGCAATCCCACAGTATCGTCATGGAAGTATCCTGGTTTTTTGGTGGGCTTTTTTTTGTGAAACTGTTGACAATATCATTCACAAAAGACGTCTCTTTGGTCATCTGAACAGGAAGCATGGACACATATGAAAACAAATACTGAACCACTTGTCGAAAGCTCTAGGTGAGAGAATTTTTGTGTTGGACCAAACGTTTTAACTCTAAACATGTAATTACCAACGCAGATGAACTTTCATGATAGTAAATACTGAAATCATCATGGAAGTTCATCTGTGTTGGTAGTAATCCTAATACAATGCTATACAATCTGTGTTGGTAGTAATCTGTGTTGGTAGTAATCCTAAAAAAATGCTAAACTTTATTCCGACACAATGGTATATATACATGTACCCTTGTGTTAGAATAAAGTTTAGCATTCTAGAAGACAGAAATTATAGTTCAACAAGACCGTTCAGCTTTGTCTTTTGGAACGTTTATTGTGGTTAAAGGCGGTGAGTGCACAACGTGATACTGCGTATGTCGATATTGCCTGATGATAGTTATTAGAAGACCAATCGAATTACAGTCATAGAAATCTGTTACAGACTCTAGGAAAAAAATGTAGATCCCTGTTTCTGTAGACCAGCCCGACGATTCAAGCGACCAGCATCAGGCCAAATATGAGGAACTGGCAAAACGCGAAGTCGCTTAAACGACTGGCCATTAATCTCGTTGTCGTCTGCGAAGACTGCGATCATACCAAAAAGTACGCACTAACAGAAAGTGTCCAATACTGAAAAGCAGGTAGATTATTCATACCGTCATCTTTATACACTGTTTCTCCGTATAGCCTCGGTCACAACCCGCCGTACGTGCTTCTGCGTGCTGTCTACGTGCAAAATCGTGGGCAAACGCAGGGCATCCGTGCATGGTGAGTACCGCCTCCATACGGAATCCTACGGATTTGGGAGCACGCAGACACGCCGTAGAACTTTAAGTGCATGTAAAACTTTTTCTACGTGCGGTCTGCGGATTCACCACCCGTGCGTACGAGTACGAGCGACGTGCGTGCCCCGTACGTGCCGTGCGGAAGAAGCACTTGAGAGTACGGCCTCCTTACGGTAAAGTTGCAATCGCACGGAGATCGTACGTTGTAAGCACGTACAACTCACCACTTGCGCAACGAACGATGCACGCAACTGCTCATGGCCAGGCGTGGCGTGCAGACCACACTCTTACACCTTGCGCAACCGTGCGTTTTCAGAAAAAAACATAGCAGACGTAGCCTCCAAAAAAACGTACGGACAAAAAGCACGTACGGTGGGTTGTGACCGAGGCTTAATGGCGCCGCAGCAGCCCAGAAATCCAGCATCATAATAATGCCCCCTGCCGCGATACACATGTACGACACCGCGTTCATATAGGAGAATCATGTTCTTCAAGCTGGGATCAGGGAGAGCCCAGATGCCCACAGCCAGGAGACCGGCACCCATCAACTAGACAGAGACAAAACATACAGAGATGTGTACCCTCCACGTAGCATACGACCACGATGTCTGTAAATGTAAGCCATACATACATCGCATGCCTTTACTATATTTCATCTATTCTACCTTTTTTCACGATTCTGTGAGAAACCCCATTTCATTAAGTTTTATTTGTATTTCAAGTAAATTAATGGTATTGTATGTATTTGTCGGCAACAGGCTTTGAATTCTAGATGTTGATCTTGGTTGACATTTTCTGTATGGCATGTTCTTAATAACGTTACGTGGACGTAACAAAACAAGCCGTCAGGGGCCCAGAATTTAATTATTCTGAGGTCTCATCAAGACCTACCCATCTACCGAATACCAATACAATCCATCTAAGCCTTCTCGAGATATGCTGTTGACAGACAGACAAAGACAAACACACATACACACGAACACCTACGAAAACATAATTATTGTAAAGGTAACAAACACATGTATGCGTCTACCTGACGTTTATTTATTCGCCATATTATAAAAGTGACAATATCATAAAAGCGACAATCATCATAAGGTCCAATATACACATTACATAGACACATTGCATTGATAGAGCATCGCCCACAGCTATCGTAATACAGACAATATACATTTCACTGGCATATAATAAAGACAATATGTCATGATTTGACGTGTTCTATTTACACAATTAAGTTACACAATATTTTTCAGCGTACTGTAGGCTGAATGAACTTGAGGTGAAACTTTTGCACACACGGCTACATGAATCTACGCTTGGCATTATCTCACGTTAGATATCACGGCAAAGTTTTTGAAACAGTTTTTTTTGTACAACAAAACATAATTCTGATGAACATATTGCATTAGATTAAAAACGTTGCAAATTTCAGTCACGGCAATCGCAAAAGTTACGCCTGAACTCCAAACATTGTAGAACAGAAACATCTATAAACTAAGTCAAACAAAAAACAGCAACAAAAGACAATAGAAGACAAAATCTCTCTCATTGATGACTTTGAAGGTTATCAAGTTGGTATCGGCCGACTGTTGTCTGATGTATCCATGGTAACCGTCGCTATGGTTACACAGGACCGACGTCATTTTCACCGATACCTTTGACCAGGCATAGCGTCATGAAGAACCCGATCAGCTGTAAGAGAGTTAACATGTTTAGTTAGCAACCAGTAATAATGATAACAAGGGAAATCGTAGATTTCAAACCTCCGGGTTTTTTTCTATTGGTTTAGGTTATTTGTTTGTGTGTAGTATGAAAGTTATGTGCGTAATATGTTTGTATGCCGGTTTAATGGCTACTGACGGTTGGTTCGGTATGGACTGTTGATTAACGCAGTGTTCGAAATACTTTTTTGAGCAAAGTAGCACAGTGTGCTACCTAGGGCAAAAACTAGGTAGCGCAGCAGAATTTTAGGTAGCGCCACGTCCCCCCCCCCACTTGTCAAATTACTATGCACGTGTCGCAATAACTATATTTCTTCCAATCATAGAGGTATAATACCTCCATGCTCTAATAAAGTTACTATTTTGAGGTTTCAACTCTGAAGTAGGAGCTCTGGGTCGAAGCCAAATTACGGGTGCGTGATTTATTCTGGTTTTCTACTGAGAAAAATCGGGACAGTATTTGCGCCGGGCAGCCGGCCATGTACGCGAAATGGTACGCCCAGTATAGCAGCGATCTATTCATGTTTTATGTTTACAATTGTGCAAATTTTTTTTACAGAAATTTGATCACATATGCTTAAAAATATTGTTATGCTGATGTTAAAAAATATTTTAAGACACTGAATCGCTGGCTGTGATGTGCAGCAGTGTACGTACGCCGCGTAGCGTGCCAGACATTGGCCGTGCAAGCCTATAGAATGCCCCACTTGCGACATAAATTTCTGAGGCTTATCGTGCGCATCGTGCGTATCCACAATTATTCCCATCGTAAACATAGTCACTGGAATCTGAAATGCATACATACAGGATGATTTCCCTTCTTCAGCGGGAGTTTTGTTTATGTTTTGATCGTACACGTCAAACTGCCACGCTGGTCTACGCTGCGCGCTGGTCTCGGCTGCACTTCCGGGTTCCATAAATCGACACCATAAATCGACAAAGAAACAAATATTTCCCCCCAAATTTATATTAATTGTGCACTTTTTCACTAGATGTGGCTATGCAGTCCTGGAAAACAGCGTTTAGTGCATATTTTCAAACAGAAAAATCGCGTCCCCGCGCCCTTCATGTTGCCGCCCGGCGATCTCAGCTGAAGCGAACAACCAATCAGAAACGCGTAACGCGGATACGTCATGCAAGATTTGCATACCGCCCACCCACCGCTTCTGCTGGCTGCTGCCATGCTAGCTACGCGCCGTACTTGAAATAAATTGACGTGTATCGCCGTATTTCTGGAAATAAATGCCGCGACACGAAGATCTAGCGCTGACTCGGCTTGCACTCAGCGTTCAGCGTCACCCGCGCCATTACCCCCGCCGTCATCCCGCGCCGTCATTGCTGCGCCGTCACCCAAAATTTTTATCGGAACCAGACACCCCTCTGTTTGACCCCTTTTGAATGGTAAGACCCAAAACTGCAACCTCCCCATTCCTTAACAACATGGTAAATTCCATTTTCAGCATGGCGGGGGTGTCCGGAGCACCTAAAAACCTTTTATTTCGACGCCCATAAACACATATGCAATTAAACAAAAACGTTCTGCATCATCTGCAGCCCAACAGCAATACGTATACCGAACAACAGACAAATCCGTCCAGCCGATCGCGAGAAACAGCTGCTGACAGAAATGTTTCGAACAATAGTAAAACCTCCTCGCGGAAGGATATCTCCTTCCCCGGAGGTAATAATCAAGCTGCAATTTGTAATTTTGTTTTCCTCTACTTATTACTATCAATAGATGACAAATTAACATGTAGAAGATCTCGATTTCTCATATGCTCATTTGGTATGCAATACCTGCCAATATCAAATTTAAAAAAAAACTTTATACAATTCTTAAATGTATGTACCGATCGCGACTTACCGGGATGCTGGAGAGACACATGACAACAATAGCAGCCGTCTGCACGCCCCAGGACAGGTAACTGGTGAACAGGCTCTCACAAGACTGAGGAAAACAAACGAAACTTTTATTCAACTTTTCAGCTGGTGTGTTACACCGAAGGGCGGTTATACCGGCTATACAGATACAGAAGCTGGTGTGTTACGCCGAAGGGCGGTTATACCGGCTATACAGATACAGAAGCTGGTGTGTTACGCCGAAGGGCTGTTATACCGGCTATACAGATACAGAAGCTGGAGTGTTACGCCGAAGGGCTGTTATACCGGCTATACAGATACAGAAGCTGGAGTGTTACGCCGAAGGGCTGTTATACCGGCTATACAGATACAGAAGCTGGTGTGTTACGCCGAAGGGCTGTTATACCGGCTATACAGATACAGAAGCTGGAGTGTTGCGCCGAAGGGCTGTTATACCGGCTATACAGATACAGAAGCTGGAGTGTTACGTCGAAGGGCAGTTATACCGGCTATACAGATACAGAAGCTGGAGTGTTGCGCCGAAGGGCGGTTATACCGGCTATACAGATACAGAAGCTGGTGTGTTACGTCGAAGGGCAGTTATACCGGCTATACAGATACAGAAGCTGGTGTGTTACGCCGAAGGGCTGTTATACCGGCTATACAGATACAGAAGCTGGAGTGTTACGTCGAAGGGCAGTTATACCGGCTATACAGATACAGAAGCTGGAGTGTTGCGCCGAAGGGCAGTTATACCGGCTATACAGATACAGATAAAGATACAGATACAGAATTTTTCAGTTGTTGCAAGAGGGCAAAACCAAGTTAAATAAGGCCATGTTGATTTGATTATATGGATGACATCCTCTGGGAACCCCAAAACTGATGCGCGCGTGCGAATAAAAAAAAGTTTTGCAAAAAAAAAAGTTGCTTTCACTATGAAATCTACGTGGTCATGAAGGTTGAACAAATGGCACGGAATATGTCATGGCGAATAATCTACTCTTCGAATTCATTTCTTTACATTTGTGTCTTTTTTCCTTTGATTTTGGCATTCTACGACATTGGTATCGTTTCTAAATGTTTTCCTTGCAACTTATGGTATATTTTTGCTCATTTAGCAACTATTTAGCACGATTTACAGTATGGTTGAAAACTTTTTTTTTGGAAACGGACGAAAATTCATGCGCGCGCGGATGTCATCCATATAATCAACATGGCCTAACTTAAAGCGCTGATCGTCAGTGCTTGGACGTGCATCATAAATCAACTTCCCAAGCGGGGCGTGTAACAAAACTGTTAAAAGACCAAGAAAACAAATCTTTTCCATTGTCAAAAACGGGAAAATGAAACGGACAGTAATCGTTATGGGGCAAGTGCGCATGTGCATGCACAACCCACCCTGTAGTACGCAGGCGTAGTAGCGTCGCAGTATGTGGCGGTGTCCGTCTCGCCGCTACAGTCACATGACGTCACAGATCCTGGGTTTTGCCAGTTGTTGTAGCTGCTGTAGCCGCAACATTTAAACTGTTTGGATGTAAAAACTGTTTAAGTTAAAGGACCACCAACTTTACGACAACACAAGATTCTAAAAAAACAACATGAATTCCTTCATAACATCTTCATCCAGCAACTTCTGTAAACAACTGTTACACCAAAAGGCTCTTTTACCGGGAGCCGTTTAGAGATCCCTATCACAAAGTAAAGTAATCACAAAACCGTTTCATTCACCACTTCCATGTGTGAATGAGACTGTGTTTGTGATTGAGGAAATACTATCTTGCCAGACGGAAGTTAAAACCACGTACGATTGTCTGCAGGTTCTTCATGGAGGTCTGGAACTCAGAGGACCTGTCCTCAAAGTTTTCGGAGCCGTCGACGACAGTAGCCATGACAGAAGACAGCTCGTCCACAACCTGAGGAAATATGCAACAAAAACGACAAAACATCACGTTATAGCTTAAACCAACCATATGTGTAGGGGCCGTTTTTTTAAGTGACTATGCTGAATATAATCTATTGTTGTTGAAGTTCATGGCATGGCAACTTACCCTTTATTGTTTTATTGTTTGAGGGCGGCGCCAATATAAGTTAGCCCAACTTGAGTACGCCGCCATCGTGTCTGTATTTCTTTATATATGTTTTAATAAAAAAAACACACCAAAAAACTTACCCTATCCTTGTAAACAAGTCCGACGATCCCGGCAGAGAGCATCAGACCAAAGATGATGAACTGGCACACAGCAAACTGAAAAGGAGACCAACGCATCATTTGAAGAAACCGGTGTCAGGAACACGCTGATATAGTACTGTGCACGACTTCTGTCTTGATGAATATCTCACCTTATACTTGGGGATTTTTCAGTCAGGCGCTTCCCTACACGGATATTGAACTATGCGTGGGGTCATAGTTCAGCTCGGAACCTAGAGGTCCAGGGTTCGATCCCCACCCATGTCACCGATCTTGTGCTCTTGGGAAAGGCACTTTACACGAATTTCTTCACTTCACTCAGGTGTAAATGAGTACCTAGCTTCGGTTAGGGTCGTCCCTCGGATAGGACGTAAAATGGAGGTCCCGTGTTTGAGGAGAGCCGCACCCCACGCACGTTAAAGAACCTACCGCACTTATCGAAAAAGAGTAGGGGCATGCCCCGGTGTGCGATGGTCCAAAAATTCTACAGACCAAATACTACAGTGTAGCAGAATCATCAGCATGTTGATGTTGGCTACCTTAACCTCCAAGACCAAGACCAAGACATGTGCCATAGATATTTTTCAACTCGAACTGTTTTCATTTATTCCAACGACATAACGACATTCCTTACCGTGATCAGCATACACTTATTCTCCTTGACGGCCCCGCAGCAGCCCAGGAAGGAGACGATGAGAATGAGGCTTCCGGCCACAGTAGACATGATGGCCACGGAGTTGAAGTAGCCGAGGTCCAGTAGGACCAGGTTCCGTAAGGACGGGTCCACTAACCCCCACACACCCACACCTAACATACCCAGACCTGCCAACTGGGGGACGGCAAGGGGAGCAAGCTGTTATTCTTATGTTTACCGAAGGAAAACATATTGTTTTTACTCAGTTTCTTCCTCTTCTTCTTCTCCAAACAGTGACCTCTGACCTGACGAATGAAATGATTTGTTTACATCTGTCACCATAGTGACTGGTGTTGGGTTACATAATGTTGCAATTTCATGGTCTACTCTGCTCCTGTCACCATATACTAGTAGTACATGTACATATTTAACATCTGGAAACCATATCGTCTATCTTGTTGAAAAATGACAACAAAATTCAGATCGTTCATATTACCTGTATAATAGTTGTAAGTTAGAATTTTCCTTAGGGGCCGAATGACTAAGTTAGGCGGTTACCATGGATAAGGCTCGGCGCAGAAACTATGTTCGAAACTTATTTATCTAAATGTATATCGTACTGTCCGCTGCCATTATAAGTTTTATGTAAGGGATTGAAGATATTTCAGCTTTTTATGGTTTTACCGGTTATCTATAAAGCTGTCACCAATGCCTAGAATATATATTGTTAAAATATATTATTTAAGATAATATTGCACAACATTGTTGTATAGCTTCTACCGAAAGGAGGGCGGTACAATGTATGAATCATGATATGTGGTCGGAATTTTTAGGTCGACTGGATCGGGATGTCACTGACCTATAGGGCAGCAATTGTTGTTAGTAACAGAGAACACTTGCGAGATATAATTGTTAGAACCAATGCCTAGAATATATATTGATGCCTAGAATATGAAATGAATAAGACCAGAACCTCAGTGAGCTACACTGCAGCAAAACATATTGACATGATAAACATCAGATGAAAAAAGCAGCACCTGTTTTCTTTCTTTCTCTTCGATGGGTCTTCTTCATGTTAAACACGCTACCTCCTGCATTTAATTTTCCACCAAAACGATAAGTATTGAAAGTAGAGATCTCACAATATACAAAGGTACTTACGAAGAACCAGACGTTGAAAATGAACAGCAGAACCTTGCTGCAGTTGCACAACCTCCATCCGCCATTTTGGACTAAACCTGAAGACGAGATTTAACGTTATATGTGGAAATCTAAATCCAAACTGTGCGGTAGTATCTGTTGCGGCGCGTGCCCTCTATACTGTAACAGTTCCTCCTAATTGTGGCCGATAGTGTACGGTTGTCTCAGACTTATATAGAAGAGGATGACGTGTGGAAATAAGGCGTAGGCTTGTACAAACACTGGCTTTGTTCTCGGGTGACATCCAGACTATATCAGGCGTGTCTGTTGAGTGGCAACAACGTCCATAGTACCCGCGGCACTAAGGTACAGTTTGCTCACTCTGACAGAGCTAACATTAGCCATATTGTCCAAATAGGTACCCTTTTTATCGGAGATATCACTGATATCTCTGTGTATCAATTAATCCGTACAGTGGGTATACGGAGAACGCGTTATTTAAGAGTATTGCACAATATTGTTGTTTAGCTTCTACCGAAAGGAGGGCGGTACAATGTATGAATCATGATATGTGGTCGAAACTTAGAGGTCGACTGGACCGGCATGTCACTGACCTATAGGGCAGCAATTGTTGTTAGTAACAGAAAATAATACGCAAACTGACCTCTAACGGTTGTGCACTCTTTCATGAGGCACTCAGATATCTGCTTGTCTCCGGTAACCTAGTGGTCATCGACCTTTACCAGACTCTACCCTATACTGAATAAGTATTGTATAAATGAGTATACACACATGTATTCATACTTATTCAGTAGCGTAGAGTCTTGTAAAGGTCGATGACCACTAGGGTACTGGGGACAAGCAGATATTCTGAAAGGCAACCCTTTTATCCTTTGGGAGTCGCGAATTTAATTCAATGCACAGCTCTTTCTATGTACAGTTTTTCCAACCTTTTAATACGGAAGCGGTGTAACACGAGAAAAAAGCTGTGTAAATTGACTGAAATTCTTTCCATCATTCGTTTTAACCATTCATTACTTCATCCATTCATATATTCCATTTGTAAGATTAACTAATGAGGCGAAAAGATGGACACAAAAATTCTTTTTGTACTTTACATATTTGTCATACGTGTAGAATCCAAATAGTTACTGACAGGCCTTACGATTTGTCAATAGTCAACTAGGCATGTTCAAACGGAATATCTCACTGAGCTTAAGCAAAAAAGCAGTTACTCAAGCAACTGGATATGACTTTGGAAACGGTCAGACATTTCAGGTAGCATCCACTACCTTTCGTCAATAATGACTTATGTGATGCGTTCTTATTTTCAGATATCTTTATTTCAGTTAAATTATGGCAAATATAGTTTATAATTATATGCATATGTTCAAGCAACAATATCTGGATGACATATATATATATACAAGACTTGAAAACAAGGCATTTGGGTATGTATCGATTGGATGCGGCTGGTTTGTTGTGAATCCGATTGAAGTATATATCTTCATCTTCATCTTTGCCGGGGCTCAAAGATGTTATGTGAGCCCCGGCTACACCCCCATATAGCCCCTGATGGGGCACTTTAGGGGGGGGGGGCTTGGTCTAAGGCGGGTAGGCCTTCAGCCTGGCCCGGAAGGACTCATAGGGAGCCATAACTACCGGGCCAGGCAAGGCGTTCCATTGGGGGATTGTGCGAGGGAAGAGGGAATATTTGTAAGTGTCTTTTCGTGCATGTATAGGTTGATGTACTGGTGGCTCCCTCGGGTACGCCCTTGGGCTGGCTTGAGCAGGTTGCTGGTGGGGACATTAATGATATTATGGGTCAGTTTATAAAAAGTTGTGAGGCGGGCCTTCCTCCTCCGGAGAGGAGAGGCCACATATGTTATAGATAAATTCAATTTTGTTCTCCACCAATCAGCAAATTCTTAGACACATGCATGTGTGAGGTCACTGATATTCAAGCAGGTGTTGAAAGTTTTTGAAAGGGGAGAACCATTAGTCTGTAGTATATGGCCATAAGGTGTTGAAAACAGCGAGAGCTCAATTATGATCATGACGAGTGTGTTTTCATCATATTTCAGGTAGTAGCTGAAAATTGAAAAAAGCGTATGTTTAACAGGAGTTCTCTGTTAAGACGCGTTCTTAATCGATATGTTCAATCATTCACTGGGAAAATGATTGAATTTGCACAAGTCTGTTCCCAATTGGCTGTAAACTGCAAAGCATCCCATGGTCAATTTAAATTTGTCACGGCATCAAAATATCACCATGACCGGTGACCGTTGTCTATATGAATGGTTCTTTTGTGAAATACTTTCGCTTGGACAATATTTTCCCTCGGCAGATAGCAACATCATCAACTCGTAAAATTGCTACAAATAACCCAAAAATGTGGGTCATAATATATTTTTCGTGTTACACGAGAGTACATCACCCCCGTACCGTGAAACGACTCTCCCCACGCCAGACTATGTCGCGTCGCCGCTCGGTGAAGACCAGGAAAAGCCGGCGAGGTAAGGCAGGCCACCGCGGCAAGGACTGGAATCTTTACGACGACAACCACTGCCACTATTTCTCGTACGAACCGTCTGGTCTCAGCACACTGCTTACTCTGGTCTACATAATTCAGCTTGGCAGGTACACCAAATTCCATGTTTTTTTTGGGGGGGGGCGATCGCCAGGTATCCAAACCTACTAGTATACATACATATTTAGCTGTCGAGTCTCTTTCGTTTTCTCCCTGCTAAGATTTTCATTGCTTTGTTATACAAGCTTGTCATTGAAGAGTGATTTTGGCAACGTGCATGGTGACAATCTGTTTTCCAACCAAACGATAAATAAATGTATAGAATTATAATAGAATCTTCGCATGCAAATAACAGCTGTATGCATTTGCTATGTCTAATTGCTTTTTACATGTGTGAGTGTGCGCGCGCGCATTTGCTACTTTTGTCTGTCTCCATGTGCGTGTGTACGTGTGTGTTCAGATTCAAATTCAGATGTTCGTTGCTCACAACCATCCATCTCTAACTCTTTTTGGCCGTGTTTATGTGAAGTCACCCAAACCGCGCGCGATTCGGGTAACTCACATTCCTCACATCTGGTCCACCTGCCATACATTCCTTTTAAAACGTGCCCGATCACGATTCTCCGAAACTACATTCATTGTCATTATTGTCAGAGGTCAACGACCTGCTTGCTGGTGCCCCCTTTCAGCGTATCTCGGCCAAAAGCCGACGTGGTCCCGCCAGAGGCGGTGAAGCTCGTCCTAGAACGGACACATTATTTGACCATTACTATCCTTTCAGTTACTGACACGTAAAATTTGGTATTGCATACAAATAAAGAAATATCACCCCGTAATCCATGACCAAGTGAAGTCACATTGAAATCACATTGCGTTCATACGCAAATCGCGATGCGGGAAAACCGATTCGAAACCACCTCTAGAAGTGGTTTGGGATCGAGGCGCTTTCAATGTGATTTTGAGCGTTCAGATCGAGCCACTTGAAACCGGCTTCGGGGTAAACCACATGTAAAGCGCCTTGGGTGACTTCACATAAACACGGACATTGTCTCAACTATTTTAGTCCTCCGCCGACCCGCTGGGACAGACTGAAGTGGTGGTTGGAGGACAGCTGGGAGTGGATCATGTCAGTTGCGTTTGGCCGCGATCCGAGAAGATTCTACGAAGACAAGATGGTGAGAAGTCGTGGCGGGAATGTTCGTCTTGCCAAGACAGTCCTGATGGTGCTTAACTTTCTCGGCTGGGTAGGTGACTTTACTATTCGAAATGCTACACTTTTACAACCTGAAATTATCTACCATACTACGTACAATGCCTATGGTACCAATTAGCAAACGTACATGTACACAACTGGTTTCTCAAGGACAATATATCAGATGCCCTACAAATTCTGTTTAGGCCACAGCAAGTAAATTTTATGGATGACATCCACCGCAGACTCCAAATCTAATGCGAGCGGGCGAAAAAACAAACAAATCGGGCCGAAAAAAAAGGTTCCAACATTTTAAAATGTTGACTCAATTGTTGTACAAATAGTTTTGATTCAGTGAGAACATCACATATACACAGCCACCATCACATATCACTGCATCGAAGTAAGAAACAAAACATTAAATCTGAGCCTTTTCTTGCCTCCTCTCTTTATAGTTATCCGCCATCCACCTTCCGGCATGGCAACAGACATTTTTGCCCATTTTCGGCATGTTGACCACTGTAAGAAGGCAACAAAGTTTCTTGTTTTTTTTTCAAAATCAGGCGAAAATTAATGCGCGCGCTGATGTCATCCATAAAAATTACTTGCTGTGGCCTTATTACCATAGTTGTTACTCACCTTGCTCAGTCTCTGTCGGACTTCAGGCCATGGGTGTGGCTCTCTTCGTCCTTGGCATGGTGCTAAAGTTCCTGTACCACGCGGATGACCTGGCCGGGGTCAAGTTCACCTACCTGCTCTACACCATGATTGCTTTTGGTACGTATTTTACAAAACCCAAGATTTCTTACGAGATCTTTACTTCTCTTTTTATTCACATCAGACAATGGTTTTAAAATCGTTCTTATCTTTCAAAATACTCATCTCTATGTACGTGGATGGAAGCTTATTTCTTGTTTATTTCCTTTTCAACCAATGACTGAACAGGTCTCATTGTAGCACTGGTCTGTACTCTTGGTATGTGCGGGGCAGCATGGGAAAACTCTTGCATGCTGGGAACGGTGAGTTACAACATAGTTTTGTATGCACAATTTGTTTACTAACCATTCTGTGCCAATGTAAAAAAAAAAGTGAAATCATTTATATCATTCTTTTAATTTTTGACTTTCCAGTTTGTAGGTATGCTGACTATTCTGTTCGTGGGTGAGGTGGCCTGTGCAGCGCTACTGTATGTCAATAGGAAAGAGGTTAGAAAAATACACTGTTTTTTTATTAATGCGCACTACGACTTCTGTTTCGTACCAGCGGTTTACCCAAGTGGATGTTCTTCATTTTTAGATCCTCCATGAGACTGACGAAAATCTAATGGATGTCGTAACCAATGGATACCAGTGGCCAATCAGCGACACTATCGATCTTATACAGCGCAAGGTAGGACCTATAGTAATAATCTACATATCAAGTAAGTGGTGTTGTATACATGTGATCTCTATGACGTCAGAGGCAGCGAGTGGAAGACAGAGCAAAAAGTGGGTGACAGTTGAGTGATTTGCCTACCGATAATTTGCATATGTCTTTTAAAACATAATTTGCATGTAATAAAAAGCAGCGAAAATAAATATTAATCCGTAACGTTAAATAATTTTATCAGGTTGGTAAACGAATGAATAAACGCAAAAGTTCTTTGATCACGACCATTTATTTTTTAAGAGCCGACGTTTCGATGACCGTCTGAAAGGATTGAAATGATTAATCAGGGCAATCCTGACTGGTTTACTGTGCACTGACGCTAGATGTTACTTTGTGCATAGTGCACTAAAGGTGTTACATAGTTCACAGTGCACTTATTAAGCTGGGTTTTACTGTTTACAATGCATTCCGGAACGTAGTGTAATTTTGACATACATACTAGGCATTGTTACATCAAACAACATCAAATGTGAACTATGTAACTAACACCTTTAGTGCACTATGCACCAAGTAACATCTAGCGTCAGTGCACAGTAAATCAGTCAGAATTGCCCTGATTAATCATTTCAATCCTTTGAACATTTAGGTTTATTTCAAATTGAATTATCATTCCTTTTCAGTTGTTCTGTTGCGGTGTGAACACCCCACAAGACTGGTACAACTCCCGTTATGGCCATGTTCCCGCCAGTTGTTCCTGTAACTTACCGGCTACTGACAGGGACGGCGCATGCGCCATCATAGCAGGGGAGGAGTGGTACCAGCGGGTAGGGATAGGGGGCGCTGCAGAGAAGGGAGGGTGCCGCACTGAAGCAACCATACAACGTCTTAGAACTAGATAAGGCCACAGCAAGTAATTTTTATGGATGACATCCGCGCGCGCATTGATTTTCGCCTGATTTGGAAAAAAAACAAGAAATTTTGTTGCCTTCTGACAGTGGTCAACATGCCGAAAATGGGCAAAGATGTCTGTTGCCATGCCGGAAGGTGGATAGTAAATAACTATGAAGAGAGGAGACAAGAAAAGACTGATTTAAGTTTTGTTTCTTACTTTGACGCAGTGATATGTGATGCTGACTGTGTATATGTGATGTTCCCACTGAATAAAAACCATTTGTACAATGATTGAGTCTAAATTTTCAAATGTAGGAACCTTGTTTTTTTCGGCCCGCCTTGTTTTTTTCGCCCGCTCGCATGAGATTTGGAGTCTGCGAAGAATGTAATCCATAAAATTTACGTGCTGTGGCCTAAAGGAAAGAAAAAAATCGTTAATATGATGGCATAGTATGTATTTTGTCTGATCGAAATCTAATTCCAAATTGGTATTAAACGTAACTTACGGACGTATGATTGTAGTGAAGCCAAATATTAACTAGAAAGGCCAATATTTGCTTTGGAGCAAATACAGCGATGGGTTCACCACATTTTACGACATGGCAGGGAAAGAATGAGAAACACAAGGGAAAACAATGATTTACATTGATATAACTATAATATGAAGTAACATACAACTAAAACAACAGTTGGATAGCTATTCCCTACTTTATTGGTTAGGATTTTTAATTGCATAATGCAAACTGTTGATTTTCAAAATAAATAAAAAACGTTCATGCCCCGCATTCCAATGCTGGAGCAGGAAAGCTTGAAATACCTACCAAAACACTTGAATACAGACATACTGTTAGTATGGAAATGCTCTGTGCAGGTGTTAATCAAGTTAAATCCCAACAGCCAATCAGCAAGAAATGCTCTGTGCAGGTGGAAATGCTCTGTGCAGGTGTTAATCAAGTTAAATCCCAACAGCCAATCAGCAAGAAGAATTAAGGAAAGCTGCATG